TATTTATTTATTTCTTTGTGTACTGAGGATTGAACCCAGGGATGCTTTACCACTGAACTACATCTCCAGTCCTTTTTATTTATTTTGAGAGAGGATCTCACCAAATTGCTTAGGCTGATGAACTTGAAAAATCCTCCTGCCTCAACCTCCCAAGTAACTAAGATTACAAGTGTGCAAACACCAAGCCCAGTAGTAGTTACTAATTTAATACAACCAACCTGTGAGTTAGGAAGTATCACCCTCATTTTGTGGATGCATGAATTGATTCTCAGAGGCATTAAGAGACTTGCCTAAGGTCATCATAGCAGGCAGTGGCAGAGCAGGGACTTGCTCTCCAGAGGCTGGCTCTAGTTAACTACTATGATATCACACCACCCAGCATATATAATTTTTTAAGTTTTTTTTTTAGTTGTAGTTGGACACAATACTTTTATTGTATTTATTTTATTTTTATGTGGTGCTGAGAATTGAACCTGCGTCCCGTCCCACACATGCTAGGTGAGTACTCTACCGCTGAGCCACAATCCCAGCCCACAACATATTTATTCTAAAGAAATCATAAGCCTGGGCTGGGGATGTGGCTCAAGCGGTAGCACACTCGCCTGGCATGCGTGCAGCCCGGGTTCCATCCTCAGCACCATCTACAAACAAAGATGCTGTGTCAGCCGAAAACTGAAAAATAAACATTAAAAAAAATTTCTCTCTCTCTCTCTCTCTCTCTGTAACACTCTCTCACTCTCTCTTTTAAAAAAAATAGAAAGAAAGAAAAAAATCATAAACCAGTCTGGGATTGTGGCTCAGCAGTAGAGCTCTTGCCTAAAGCAGGCAAGGCCCTGGATTCCATCCTCAGCATCACATAAATGAATGAATGAATAAATAAATAAATAAATAAATAAATAAATAAATAAAGGTATTGACAACTACAACTAAAAAATAAATATTAAAAAATATATTTAAGGGACTGGGGTTGTGGCTCAGTGGTAACGTGCTTGACTAGCATGCGTGAGGCACTGGGTTCGATTCTCAGCACCACATACAAGTAAATAAAATAAAGGTCCATCAACAATTAAAAAATACTTTTAAAATATATATTTTTTAAAATAAATCATAAGCCTCTGTGTAGTACCACACCTAATGATACCAACTGTGAACATGTTGGTATACATGTTTCCACAGTATGCATTTTTCTATGGATATACATTTATTGCAGAAAAATAAAACTGTAAGCTCCTTCTCTCACTCAAAACTACACTATGGACGTCTTTCCAAGCCAAATAAAGCATCATTTGTAATGGCTCATTTTACTATGTGGGCATTACAATATTTACTCAATCTCCTACTGTTGGAATTTAGTTTGGGCTATTGTAAAATTCTTTTTCATTGCTGGTAATCAAACCCAAGTCCTTCTCCATGCTAAGCAAATGCTCTGCCCCTGAGCTGCACCACCTCTAGCCCAGGCTACTGTAATTTTTGACTACATAAATGTATAAGCTTAGTTTCTTAAACTGCAGGGGGATGTGGTGTTTCTCTCCTTCCACAAGGCACTGCCCTTTCCTTCATCCCATGTCACAAAATCCCATGAATGTTCCCAAACAAAATCTGCCCTTTCCCTAGTATTAGTATCGACTATTAGGCTTTTCCTGCCTTTATTCTGAGGACAGGAACTCACTCAGCACTACGTTAGGTTTTTGTCAGTCTCTCCTTGACGTTTCACTGACCCCAATTAGAAAGGTGTTACTAGTTGACCCCAACCTCTGCTGTGCTGCCAGCCCAGACTCCAGCTTCTCTCTCCTAGTAACTGGGGAGCCGCCCATGAGCCTCCAGCTCCCCTTTGCCTGTGGTACGCATTCCAATATCCACCATCTCTCCTGGAGGAGCCCCTGCCTCCACTCTCAATCCTAGTACCACTAGAAGAGAAGACCCTGTCCCTATATGCAGGGACAAACATGTGACCCAGGCTTGGCCAATCAGAGCACTGTAGAAAGACTCTTTACCGCTGCATTTCAACAACTGGCATGTGATCCAATAAGCTCCAATTATGGCACTTGGACAGAACTGTCCATTTCAATGGATCTATTTGCTGGGATCTGTGTGTGATGGTGGCACTACTGGCAGCCAGCTTCCCACAGGGAGGAGAGAGTCTGCCTGAGAATGAGACCAAGGCAGAGGGGGGGAAGCAGAGCAGAGAGAGACGGAGATGAGATGTAAAACCAAGTCCCAGTAACCTTGCATGAGCCACTGGGTCCAGTCTTGCTTCAGTTTTTGGTCACATGAGCCTACAAATTCCCTCTGCTGCCTGAACCAGGTGGAGTTACGTTTCTCTTACAATCCAAGATTCTGCAATCCCTGTCCCCCGGGGGCCCTGTGTAATATGTCACTACCCTCTGTGCAGAGGGCTCCCAGATCTCTACCTCCTCCAGCCCCTGTTCTCACCCCCATTTCCAAATCCCCAGCTTCTCCGAGGTCCCACGAGCATCGTCAAGTCTGTCCTCCATTCCTTTCTTCTGCAGGTGCTACAGAACCTCTATCTGTACTTGGCTCCTGTATCCTTGACATCCAAGGGAACCCAAACTTTTCTGCCTTGTAGACTCTATGTCCATGAAACTCATGTCCAGTCTCTAGAGGCTTCTTTTAAGAATCTGTGCTTTAATTCATTTTACTCAGGGAAACATTCACCTTCACAGATCTCAGCTCCAATGAGTCATTCCTTGGTTTTCTCTTTTGTCTTCAGAGGAAGATTCAAAGTTCTTTAGTTGGGCATATATACTGGGCCTCCACTGTCTGGCACCAACTTGCTATTCTAAGTTCTTGCTATTTCCCTTTGGTATTAGCTAGGGTTCTCCAGAGAAACCAACCAATAGGATGTAAACAGATGTAAAGATCCATCGACAGGCAGAGAACTAGCCTATGTAATTACAGAGGCTGGCAAATCCCAAGGTCTGCAGGATGGGTGGGCAAGCTGGGGATCCAGGACAGTCAAGGGTTGTCATTCCAGTCCACATTGAAAGGCCTGAGACCCAGGAGAGCTCATGCTTAGACTCATTGTTTCAGCAGGGCACAGTGGTGCGCACCCATAATCCCAGAAGCCTGGGTGGCAGAAGCAGGAAGATTGCAAGTCCAAGGCCAGCCTCAGCAACTTAGTGAGACCCTGGCTCAAAATAAAAAATAAAAAGGGCTGTGGATGTAGCTCAGTGGCAAAGCACCCCTAGATTCAATCCCCAGTACCAGAAGGGGAAAAAAAGAAAGAATTCATGTTTTAGCTTGAGTCTGAAAATGAGAAAGATTTTTGCCTTACTTGGGGGAGGGTCAGCCTTCATGTTTTACACAAGCCTTCAACTAATCAGATGAGGCTCGCCCACATAAGGAACAGCAACCTGCCTTGCACACTCTCTTCTAGAAACATGCTCACAGACACTCCCAAC